TAGACTATTGTTATGATACATGACACTTAATATTATATTATATATTATATTATATGACACTTGCAGTACCGTAAATCTGTAAACCGTAAAATTCGCTGAAGTAAATATTTAGATGTGATAGATGGTCATACATCAAGAGATGTTAACTAACAATGGATGTTTTTTTTTTGTGTTGCAGAAAAGATTAGATGAACTAAGGGAAGAAAAACGGCAGGTAGATGCAATTAGAGAAGAAAAAAGAGGTTAGTAGACATTCTTCTTCTTTCTAACTTGTGTTGAGTGCACACAAGATTCATTCTCTTAACAGTGTAGTAGTCTCCATCTTATTGGCTAACAATACCAATCACATGACTTTGTTTTTATCACTGGACCTATTGTCTTTTAATTTAATTAGAAATGTTTTTTATGCTTGTTGAAGATCCCATACTCCCTAAATTCCACAGGGTGATTGGTGTATTTATGTGTCCACCTCATGGTAACCCTTCGAGGCACCATTGTCAATGTTCGGCACAATCTACAAAATGACTTTGTATCGTCTGCTCCCCACATGATATAAAAATTGACAAATCTTTTGATCAAAAACCAAAAGATATATCTGAAACTGTATGGTACAATGAATTTATGATGAATTTAGCCACAACTTTACAAAATGTGAAAATATGACACGTTTGTTTGCTTGTCAGCTGCCAAGGAAGTGGCAGAAGCTCCAGAAAAAGAAGCCAAGGACAAACACAAAGAATCATGGGAAAAAATCAAAGAACAAATAAAGGAAGAAAAACAAAGAGAAGAAGCATCATTCGCATTCAATGAATTAGATATTAATGATGATAAATTGTATGTATATTTCTTCTTCTTGATCACAGTGTTCATCATACCAGTCAGGTTATGATAAGTGTTGTGTATGACACTGGTTAAAATGCATTTCCTGAAAGTTTGGCCGGGTACTGCCCGTTAAACTGTACAGATGTTTTTCACTGGAGTTCGCAAAAACAAATTACAAAAACAGGCTCACTTCAGTGTTCTAATATTTAAGAATTTGATGCTCAACCAACATATTTTATCATTTCTTCATGTAATAAGTTTTATAACTTGGTTATTTCTACTTTTGAACAGGGTATCCACAGATGAACTTCAAAGCCATCTGGAATTCGATGCTGATAATAACGGAGAAGTCAGTCACGAAGAAGCTGTAGTAAGTTATAAAAGGCTTCTATAAACTGAATACCTGTAAACTGAACAATTTTCTCTGTTCCTATAAACTGAACAC